TGCCACGTAATTGATCAGCTGAAAATCGTCACTTTTGATTTGTATTCAAACTCAGCAGAAGGATAACTATTTCATTTTAGTACAAACTTTAAATTGGAGGACTTAAGTTTATTTTAAGTCCATCTTACGATCGTGTTATTTATTTATTTTTAAGTGATCGCGTTAACACTGTGAGCAATCACTATATGAGTATTTAAAAGAAATATATGTAATGAATATGGAATTACATTTCATAATGTAAAAAAATTCATAAAATTCATATTGTAGATATACAAGTAGATATTTTTATTTAACAAATATTTTTATTATTAATTTCATTGATAAATATTATAAATTATATAAATATTTACAATTAAGTTTACAATCGCATTGTTTGAAGTAGTTGCGTACAATTCATTGTTCAAACGCGTGTATGTCAATTCGTAAATAGCGCGTAGTATTATAGTGAAACAACGCTATCGATCGGAAAAACAATATGGCGGTTACGATAGAGATCTAGGAAATGTCAAATTCAAAATAGACGCCACCATCGGGAGAGTAAAGTAACGATGTATACGAAAGGTTGAATGCGTATCAACATAATGCAGTGCAAGTCGAAAGTCCGAAAGTGAAGTGACCTGAATATCTCTTAAATCCTAAATTTCGATAACCTAATACGAATTAGCATCATGAACTACAAAGGTATTAATTTTCATTATCAACGTTATCTTCGATGATCTTTTTTTTTTATTGTACGTAATATGTTTCAATTATTTTGAAAAAACAGCAGCACACTGATGTAAAGTGTATTACAAAGACATGCAATTTTTTTTTCTTTTTCAGCAAATGTGAGAATGATGTAAATGTCAATGTTACAGATTCCATAATCATTGTCGCAAAGTGATCAATTGAAAATTTCTTACTAAATGACTAAACAAGGGACAGCTCAAATGTCACTCGATGATGACTTTGACAGACCATTCGAAGATGTTGAGCCTTTGCAGTGGGGAGCATTACGTGAACTGTGCAATGCCAGTTCAGAATATTTTGCCTCCCATCAAGATGAAAATAGTATTAGAATTAGAGCTGCGCTTATGGCTATATTGGATCATTTGGTACAGTTGCAACCACTGTATAAAGAAATTAGCAGAATCGCGCCAATGTTCGATTTGGATGCACAAACACCTGGCAATGGGTACAGAAGTTTCCTGGTGCTAATAGACAAATGCATTATTCACTCTCGTTTAATTTGTCACCAGATATATTGTCAAAAGGATTCTATATTTTTTCGTAAAAGTTATTACATGAGGTAATTAGCATTTTTTTGAACAAACGATTGAACATTTCTTTTCAAAATTGTATGAACGAATATATAATATTTGTAGGGAAGTTGAGGCATGTTCGCAACTACTGGCATCTTTGTGCACTTGCTTGGAACATTTACAAACTCTTTATTCTTGGAGTGAGCACATAAGTGATGGAAAACCATCTCTCTTTATAGGAGATAATCACAATCCATATGAAATTTTAAACAAAGTAGATAGTATCAATCAATATTGTTTTTATGGCAGGTGTTTAGGATTCCAGGTACTGATAAGGATATATGTGGCTTAAGTAATTGACTATTTGTTAATTTGTTTCCTGGTAAAGTGTATTGTTTCCAGTTTCACGATAGCTTAAAGCCCATTTTAAAAACCATAATGGTTTGTATGGCAACATTCAGTGAAGCATTTTATGCCAATGGCACATTATTAGCAAGATGTGCTAATTCTGTCAAGTACATGTTAGATCCTGAAGTAAGGGCGCGTCGTATTGTTGATGTATCTCAACGCGCCGATATTTCATTTTGTCAAGCATTTTGGTTTCTTAATGAGGCTGGTAATAATATGATATAGTAATATATACATATATGTGTAATTTACATTTTAAATGTAATAACTTCACTACATATTTATACCTTCATTGCTTTGAAACGTATTATGTACATGTATAAACCATGTTTTAGATCTTGCACGCAGATTGCCTGCCATAACAGCTCCTTCTTTGGCAATAAATCAAATAATTTCTATTCCACCTGAAGAGTTGACACTTCCTACATTAAGTGGATCAACTGTGTCGATTCCAATACCGAGTAGTCACGTTGGAAAGAAGCCAATACATGTTAGACTGTTCAGTTCTAAACGTCGTTTGGGGATGGTAAAGAGATAATCTAATTTTTTCTAGACATCTGGCATAAGCAGTATCTTTAGTTGTCGTTTTTGTCCCTACATTCCCTTCAATTGAGTAAAAATTATTGCGAAACATCGGTTTCACTCCTGTGCAGTACATGCTTTTCTCAGGTCGGTTCAGGTGGAGTGGCAGGCGAATTGCATGGATTGTCCAATGAATTAATAATCCATTGTCATGGTGGAGGTTTCGTAGCACAAACTTCACTATCTCATGAAACATACTTACGCGATTGGGCCATCAATCTTGGCATACCCATTTTAAGTATAGATTACAGTTTAGCGCCTGAAGCTCCGTTTCCTCGTGCACTTGAGGAAGTGCTATATGCGTATGCATGGACTTTAAATCATGCAAGCACATTGCTTGGGAGTACAGCTCAAAAAATAGTTTTTGCTGGTAAGATACAAAGCATTGCGTGCTTTTTAACATGAGCTTTTTTAACATAATTTTTAACGCGTATTCTATTGTGTATACAATATTTAAAAACATGCGTATAAAACTTTTATGCAGGTGATTCCGCTGGGGCCAATTTGAATTTGGGAGTTACTTTAAAGTGTCTGCAGTTGAACATCAGAAAACCTGATGGAATATTTATGGCGTACACACCAGTGCTTGTCGACTTTGTATTGTCACCGTCGCGATTACTTTGCCTTACAGACCCATTATTACCTATGGGATTTCTTTTACGTTGCCTAAAAGCATACGCCGCTGAATGTTCAAAATCAGAGTCGGAATCTTTTGCTGAGGTGAGCGAAAGCGATCTAATAGCGTTAGCTCTCAGTCCTAACGGAGATGAAACGAACGACGCACACAAGTTAGCGTCTTTGCCATCTGACTCTACTTTGAATTCTGTCACTTTGACGGAAGTTGACGGTAAATAAACATTAAATATAAAAAGATATTTCTTTAAGAAAATAGTTTAAATATGTGACGTAGTTATCATTTCAGTTCATTGTTTTTGTTGTAATTGGTTTTACATTGAATACATTCTTTCTAACGTAATAGGGACGGAACATCTACAGGATGAAGCGAAATCTCAAGAATATGTTAATAAATTTTTTGATCTTTATCGAAATTGTGGTAAAACAAACACTTCGACGCACGTTGGGAATGGCACTATTAATACAGGGAATAATATCTCGAAAAATGATAAATCTTGGTCCTTCTTTGGATGGTCTCTTAGTGGAAGGCATAGAGAATCCAGGGAACTGGATATAGAGAATGTGAAGAGTCCTATGGAGGAATTTATATTCACAGTGCCCAGAGACCCATATTTAAGTCCTTATCTTGCAGCGGATCATCTTCTAGCACAATTACCACCCATTAAGATGCTGGTAAATTTTTAAATGTCAAGTTTTACACGCAATATAATATACAAAAAAAATTACCTATGTATAAATATTTTATAGACATTAGAGTTGGATCCATGCCTTGATGACTCTGTCATGTTTGCAAGGAAACTTCAGTCACTTGGTGTATTAGTCACGCTTGACATATTGCCAGGTTTACCTCATGGGTTTCTTAACTTAACACCAGTAAATACTTGCCTCGTTAAATAAATCAATATTAAATTGTGCCGTATTATATCAAGTTATTTAAATTTACAGGTTTCAAAAGAGGCAAGCGAAGGATCAGATCTATGCGTGAAAAGATTGCAAGAATTACTGGCATTATAAGTATATGCATATAGGAAATACTCATTAAAATATAAATGTTTATACGCGGGAACAAAACTTTTTTGCTTTTTTTCTTTTAGGTGTCAATTTAATCAATTTTTTACAAAGACTAATGATAATTTGAAATATCCCGAAAGCTTTACCC